CTTCATTACCTTGGGGATAGGCACTGCAAGCACAGTTTCTTCCCTGTCCGTGTACCTCACCATACCGGAAGCAATATCTTCGAATCGGCTTTCCATTTTGAACCTAAAGAAGGGTAATTATAAACTTTTCACAATTTTGGTTTGATATCAATGCTGACAAACTTCACGGAAAGTGTAGGATCCCGGACTTCAACTGGAGTGCCGGAGGAGATCTTATCCAAAAGAAATCTGAAGACATGAAAACTTACTGTAATCATACAATCACAAAACAAATCTTACCGAATATACTCCTCCGCGTCTTGCTGTCGACTCGTAGAAAACTCTGGATGATTGCCAGCCACCACTCGTTTGAACTGAGATGGCTTTATCCCATTGAGATCACTATTTTCCTACAAAAAAATCCTTCACTCAAGTGCATAGCAATATCATAGAATCTCTTGATGACAGGAAGCTCACAACCTACCGCAGAATAGTCACCGCTTGACATTGCAGAAAACAATTTTGCAACTTGACCATTGAAGTCTGTATGCACCTGATAAACAAAATTTGTAAGTAGTGTACAAACTAGGAAAAACAGAAGACTTCAAAAACAAACATCAAGTGGAGGAACTCTTGCTAGTATGGGTCCAGCACCATCAACGTATCGAGTCACGAATGATGGAACAAGGAGCAACGATTGTAACACCTGAGAAAAATACCAAATTTTGTTGATGGGTGCCAGAATTTGGAAGCTCACAGAATTCATATAACAGCTAGACCCGAGGTTGATCAGGCCGGTATAGCCAGGTCCGTAGATGTTTTCCAGACTAGCACCATCCTCTTGGCATTTCGCCCATTCCCATCTGACATAACGAAGTTTAGAAGGTAGAAAACAAGAAAAACCAGTAAAAAATCGAAAAGCAGGACTTCGCGTGAACTAACTTCTGATTCATGTCCAGCTCTAACTCCAGCGTACTTTTTTCCGTCTTTTTCAAACTTCTCGCGTCAATGCCAAAATGAGCAAGATGTTTCTCCAAATTTGGATCAATCACCGCATCATCTTCATCATAGCTAAACGAGCCAAAATTGCGTAGACACAGTCAACTTGAGAAATTACCTGAAGACATCTGCAGTTCCATCACTTGAGATGGTGCCCAACTTCACGACCAGTGGAAATCTAAAAATTGCTTGAATAATACAACGAAAGCGACATCAAAATAAATATGAAAAACACGCACCCGGTAGCGTCAAAATACTGCTTCATATGGTTGTTTCCTTTGCACATTTGACCTTCACCAACAAATTGACTGCGGCCACATCTTATAGCACCATCCGTCAGATTCAACCACAGATTTTCATTCAACCCGCAATTTTCAGCTTCACAAACCCAACCACTAGTAGGAATCTGAAATCAGCCGCAAAA